GTGGACTTACGTGTATTGTTGACATGACATCTCAGCAAGAAGTGTGACAAGACTCTTCTTCCACAAACCACCACCACCATCGCTTTTCACGCTCATTCTTACCCTGCCCTCCCTTTTGAGCAATTTGACAACCCCAAGCGTCACTTTGCAGTCCTCAGCATCATCGAGATGCACAACAGACTCAAAAGGGAGGTAGTTTTGCAGGAAATGACCGAATGATGACCAGGTGAGCCCCCAATGCCTTCTCAGACCAATTCAATACTCATGGAATGTCCACCAGAGGCTTTGAACACCAGCAATAACATCCGTGGAGAGGGAGTAGGTGGCTTGGCAGGACAAGCGCGTCAACCAGTGTGACCAGCATGCTCGTTTGCTTACCATTGCTGTTTAGATCTCGACTGCTTCAGCCACGATGAGAGCCACACTCATAGACGGTGCAAGTGAAGATCCTCCCATGGTGGAGGACTGTAACTAGGTGTGTGGTTCTCTCCCATGGTAATACTGTCCTATTTCGATCAAGTGTCCGGCACTTTTTCAAAATTTGGGACCAAAAAATTTTCTTTCAATTTATGGCGATTTTTGATGAGGACTTTTTTGGTCAATGTAACGCGTAACGCGGACACTTGATCAAAATAGGACAGTACCACAGTGACACAATCGACAGCAAGCACCGACCAACTGAGACCGGCAACTCCCAGGTATAGTAGTGTTCCCTTATTGACTCTCATTGCTCGCCACTGTAAGGGCAACCCCGGAGGCCAGAGATCAAGGACCTAGCAGGGGAGGATCCAAAGAGAAGAAACTCTGAGGGTCCGCCTGCTAGGTAGCTGATTATATACTGCTTGTCCGTAGCTGCCGCTGTCGGGCACAGAAGGTTTGGGCGGCGTCGCAGGCGAGGTCCCAGGGCAACCCTCGGGAGGGCGTTGATGGATCGGTGATTATGCGGGCAAGATGGAGGGCCGGACCGGAGTCGGAACCGGAATCGGACCGGAGTCGGACATGTCTCCAAGGGGCCGAAAGGGGGGTTCCCTTAACATCACCCCCCCCCTTTGAATGTGGCGTCTCGGCGCATAGACCGGAACAGAATTGAGTCGAAGGTCGCGGAGGCGATATGCCGTGGCTTGCCAGGGTACTTACGATAGAACTCCGCAATTTTCTCCGGGGCGAAGACACAGTCGAAGCGGACCCACTGGTTGTGCGACGTGTTGTAGCTTTTCTATCTGACAAAGTAATTCAGCCGTTTATACCTCACCCTTGCATCCAAGATTTCCTCTACTTCCCACTCTGGGACTCCGTCCTCGAGGTCCGGAGGGGGCTGGTCGTAGCCGGGGCGTCCCATTGAAGGGGGTCATCCTGGGCGAGCTCGAGCTTGATGACGGGCAAGACCAGGTGGAGCTTCGAGTAGCGCGGAGGGAGGTCGAGCTTGTAGGCACCTTTGCTGATCTCCGCGACTATCTTGAATGGTCCGAGGCGGCGGTGGGAGAACTTTTCCGAGGGGCGAGTCGTCCTGATGTCAGAGGCATCCAGCCAAACACGGTCGCCAACCTTAAACTCCGGAGACAGAGTGCGTCTCCGGTCGTAGTAGCATTTGTACTGGGGACCGGCACATCAGGGCTTTTGATGGCCTGATCATCATTAGCACAGCCACCAAAATCGTGTCCGACCCCACAAGATAGATTGTTTGTTCTTCTACAGAGAGATGAGTACTGACATGAGATGGTAGGGAGACTGTGGGCATGCTCTGACTATGAAATACCTTGGAATGCTTATATATAGTATGCATTGTATCAAAAGGCTATGGTTCTCTACTGAAATAGGCCCTAATTTAAATGCTAGTGGAATATTATGCAGCTGGTATAGGCTCTGAAGTGTTGTTACAGTGTTCTGGATCTTGGACTTGAGAAGAACTTGGGGGGAGACGCGATGTGTCACGCGGCTGTAACGCGTCTGATCAGTGCATTTTATAGAAGATTTTGGAGCCTCAGGAAGGCCCAGGTTTCCAAAATAAATTGCTATACTCTTTCAGAGCATTCCTATCTATGTTTTGCTCGGAGCACATTTTCTCTAAACTGATTATTCCTCTCAATGTTGTTGTGCAAACCCGATCAAGGACAAATATCAAAATTCTGCTCCGAGCAAACCAAAGATTGCCATAAAGGGCCCTGATCGGTGCAAAAGTTTTCGTGGCAGTGGCCGGCATGAGGCCAAAAAATGTATTGGTGTTTTGATGCAGTCATTTGGCAGGGAGGTCTTAGAAGGAAACATGTGCAAACAATTGATTGATTTCATCAAACTAACTGTCTGTGCCGGTCCCCATTTGTACTCCTCTTTGGCCTTTGTAAGCGCAGCCTTAGCTTCGGCAACACCTGTGGCAATCCGGTCGCGGAACTCATTCACTGACTCCATGGCGGAGCAGACTCCAGGTTCGAAGCCCATGCGTGGGAGTCGGCCTGAGTCCGTCATGAACAGGACTTGTTGCATGGAGGAGTGAACGTGGTTGTTGTAGGCAAACTCCGCGGCCGGAATCAGCTCGTCCCAATCATCCTGCTGATAGTTGGTGAAGATCCGCAGGTATTGCTCCAACTCCTGGTTGACACGTTCTGTCTGCCCGTCCGTCTGTGGGTGATACACGGTGGACGTGGCGGGCTTGATGCCGATTAGACACCAGAGCTCTTGGGTGAAGTCCGCGATGAACTGCGAGCCACAGTCGGAGATGTACTTCTCCGGAGTCCCATGGTGCCGCCAGACATTCCAGTAGTAGAGGCGGGCTGCCCCTACTGCATCGACCATCATATGACACTCCGAGAAGTGGGTGCGCTTTCCAAGGTGTCAACGACGACCATGATCGTGTCGTTCCCATGGGCTTCGGGGAGCTCTACGATGAAGTCAACGGAAATGGTATGCCAGCGTTCCAGGGGTGGTTCCGTGGGGTGTAGCTCCCTGTGGGGCAGTCTCCGGAGCGCCTTCGTGCGACAGCACAAGTTGCAGGTTGCAATGTACCGGCCGATATGGCGAGACATTTGGGGCCACCAGTAGTTCCGGGAGACCAACTCCAGGGTCTTGAAACGACCTGCGTGTCCGGCGACTCGGGTGTCATGGCAGAGCTCGATGATGCATCTCCAAAGGTCCTTGTCCTTTGGTACGACGATCTTCCCTCGGAAATGGAGAAGACCGCTGGAGACGGCCCACTCGTCGGAACGTGAGGAGCAGGGGCCTCGAGCTTGACCTTGAACCTTAAGAAGTTGCCGGGCCGCTAGTGCGACGGGCTCCTCCAGGTCAGGCTCACCAGAGAGGGCATTGCAGATATCGCAAAGGAGGGGACTGGAAATGGAAACACCCTCGAGCGCGCGGATGTGGAAGAGTTCAGGCCGCAGAAGGATGACATCGGAGTTGTCGGAATTGACTCCGTGATCGGGTCTCCGGGAGAGGGCATCAGGTCGACCCATGTTGCGACCAGGCTTGTGGTGCAGCGTGAAATCGAACCGGGAGAGGTATAGGGACCACCGGGCCTGTCTCCGGTTGAGGTGCTGCGTCTTCCTGAAGTACTCCAAATTCTTATGGTCAGTCCAAATCTCGACAGGGTGCGCGGCGCCCTTGAGGAAGTGTCTATACTCCTCAAGTGCGCGGATGATCGTGAGCATCTCCTTGTCGTGGATTTTGTAGTTGTGCTGGACATTATTTAAGCTTTTGGAATAGAATGCTACAGGGTGCCACTTCCCGTCCGGGGTGGATTGTGAAAGAACCACACCTGTCGCATAATCAGAGCTGTCTGCCTCGAGTCGGAAAGGCTGTGCATTATCTGGAATTGCCAGAACCGGTTCCAAGGTGACCGCGTCCTTGATCACTGCCGAAAGGGGGGGTTCCCCTGACAGTTTTGCTTCGGACTTTTCTTTACTTACATTCAGCTCTTGCACGGCACTTAACAATGTATTATATTGGAATGAAGGAAAGACTTGTAAAGTTGTAAACCTAGTCACAAATCAACACCAAAACTTAAAATGGCAGTAGTCACACTCACAGTCATACTTAACATGTTTTTATATTTATTCTGTTTCTCTTGTTTTGTTGTGTTTCCTGCTACTGTATTATGCAATCCACCAGCATCAAGAGCATCAACTGCCACCAACATGGGTCACTCAAGTCCCAGGAGGGCAATGTTCTATACTCATAGAGAGAAGCACACCTGAGCACTCAGCATAGTGAGGTCTTCATACATACAATCACATAAATCACAAATTTGACATGTTCAAATATCAAAGGAACGTCTCTGCTGCTGTTGCCAACATTTTTGAAATATATATATATATATATATATATATATAATGACACCTTTTATGCCAGTCGAGTCGGCACAATGATTTCCCCCCCGTAATGTAACACTCGACATGATGTAGCTACATAGAAGAAGACGCCCTGACATGGGCTTCCGAGTCCATTGGCTTATCATTACGTTGGATCGGGCACCAGTCTGTGAGGCAATAATGCTCTGATGCTTGCGGTAGTAGCATGCGCAAGTATCCCCCGGTGACGGCGGCGTGGGGCAGGAAGCCGCTGAATGGGAGCGGATGTGCCAGGTTGGACAAAGGGAATGGCGAAGAAGGGGGGCTGGAATGATAATGACCAGCATAAGTCGTCACCAAAGTTTGGATAGTGTTGAACATGACACTACGGAGAAGGGTGACGCAGCTAAGCCGCTGAGCATGCGCAGGGAGAGAGCGGGGCGTTTCAAGTTGCTGCGACGAAAGTCCGCTTCAAACCGAGGACGACTGGGGAGCCTTACGTATCTCGTCAAGCAAATATAGCGCCCTTAATACTTGTATAGGCTCTGGCATCCGAGTTAGAGTTTAATCCACTTGGAACGTCGAACAATACCAAGTCCGACGTCTGTAATGGTCAGGCTCAGCCAATTACGCCCCACCAATTCGTCATGGGATAACTTTGCGCAAGCCCATATAAGTAGGTCGGACTTCCTGTATTCTGGCTATCTCTCAACCTCGACTCGAATATTGATAATGGTACACCAACCTCGCTTTATTCTCTCTGGCGCTGCGGGCGGCAGCACCGCCGGCGCCGATGCACCCAACCGCCTCGACATTTGGAAACTGGTCGATATGCCTGTGCACTTCTCGCTTTATGTCCAGGCGCTACGTGGGTCCTTTGCCTCTCGTCATTGCTTGAATGCTAATGTGGTCCCAGAGAAAATGTTTGTGGATGATCAGGCAGACATCACATCGTTCTTCGCTATTGGTGGCATCCACGGACTTCCGTACAACAGCTGGAATGGCGCCGGCGAGGAGCCGGTCGACCCGAACGCGTGGCAAGGCTACTGCACGCACGCTAACCTCCTCTTCCCCACATGGCACCGGCCGTATGTTGCGCTGATGGAGGTAAGCTGAGTGATAAATATTGTGAGTTTGTGTTGGCACTCACGTTGGAACTACAGCAAGTCTTGCAGCGCACGGCCATCACAATCGCGGAAACATATACCGTCAACAAGGAAGAGTTCAAAAAGGCCGCGATGGAGCTTCGCCAGCCGTTTTGGGACTGGGCCGCCGACGCGCTCCCGCCCCCAGAGGTCATATCCAAGGACTACGTCGACATTATCGGGCCAGACGGCGAGAAAGTGCCCGTGCCGAACCCGCTGCGCCGGTACACTTTTCACCCGATTGATCCGTCGTTCCAAGACACGACCTTTGAGAAGTGGGGCACGACGATCCGGCACCCGACCACCATGGGGGCTGACGCAAAAGACAATGTGGATGGGCCCCGTGGGCTGATCGCGTGAGTTCTGCCGCCTGCGTTGTGTGGATGTCAATACTGATAGTAAACAAGGACGCTGAACCAAACATACCCTAAGCGCAAACTGAACACATACTTTACTCTCACCCGCCTTCACACGTGGCCGGAGTTCAGCAACAAGGCGAGCGGCAACAAGGCACTCGCAAACAGCCTCGAAACGATTCACGACGGGGTGCATGATAACCTAGGCGGGCTGGGACCGGGCCACATGGGGCACCCAGCTGTGGCAGGTAAGTGAAATGTCGTGATTGGTGAAAAAAGAGCTCACAAATGTTGCAGGGTTCGACCCAATTTTCTGGCTGCACCACTGCAACGTCGACCGTCAACTCGCCCTATGGTCCGCAGTTAACCACGGGGTGTGGGTAACGAAGGGACAGGCAGGGCGCGGCACGTGGACCCTCCCCCAGGACGCGCCGATCGACGGCAAGACGGCACTCACTCCGTTCTGGAAATCGGCCGACGACACCGCCACCCCATATTGGACCTCGGCCGACGATGGAAACGCCGGCCTCGCGACAGCCCCGCTGGGGTACACGTACCCCGACTTCAACGGGCTTGACATGGGCAACCCACAGCAAGTTAAAATCCACATTCGGCAGCACATCGAGAAGCTGTACGGCTCTCTCGGCGGATTTGAAATCCCGCAGCCAGTAGCGGCAAACCACGGGCCAGCTGTGGCAGACTGGACCGTGCGCGTCCAGATCAAGCAGGCGGAGGTCGGTCAGAGCTTCGCGGTGTTCTTGTTCCTCGGGCCGGTCCCACCGGCAGTAGATGCGGCTGATTGGCTCTTCGACGAGACGTGTGTCGGCACATATGATGTGTTTGTCAACAGGTAAGGCCTCTTCACACTCCGTCCCAAGTTACGCTGCTGATCTGGTGGTGAAGCCTTTCGGAGCGTTGCGCGAATTGCCGCGAGCAAGAAGACTTGGTCGTTGAGGGATTCGTGCACTTGACTGGGGAGATCATTCAGCATGCGCCGACTCTCGCGTCGCTCCGCCCCCAAGTTGTCGTGCCGTATCTGACCGATACGCTTAACTGGGGCGTGCGCAAGGTGGGTTTTCCGCTGTTGCTCGGGAATGACTGCTTATGCCCCTAGATCGATGGGACGGCTGTTGCTTTAGACACTGTGCCGTCGCTTGAGGTAGACGTCGCGATGACGCCGCTGACGATGCCTCTCGGGGCAGGGCTTCCGGAGGCCGGAGAGGTGAAATACTACCATGAAATTACCCGTGGAAAACAGGGCGGATCGCGCGTTTAGGTGGGGGGAATCGGAATCTGCGATGATGAAGAACCTCTAAAAGCACCGTGACCGTCAATGTACGAGTAAGTTGAAGTAGTCTGGAATTGGAGAGATTGTATACCTACATGAGCCGTTGCAACTTGAGATGGCGGGGGAGAGTTGCAGCAGTAGCTGGAACATGAACGCAATGTCAAAGCCCGTCACTGACGTCACGCGTTACGATGGGATCAAAAGTCAAACAAGGCTGCTTACGACACCCACGACGTTGTCTGGCACACGATATAGCATTCGATCGAGGGTGCCTATGGCCGCTACAGCATGATGCTCAGGCACGTCGCGCGTGCCCTGTACGACTTTGTTTGAAGTTGTTTTGACACCTCACATCGCCCCGCCAGTGAACAACTTTGGTGAGCCATTGGCACTTCTTTCCCTGATTCGAACGCCTTGACGCACTGCCGGATGAATAGTTTCAGAGCCCGGCGCCTAATCTTCGGCCGCGAAGACAACACAACGCGGCACACAAGTCCTCGGGGCGGCCACGTGCCCGTCATGCGGCGTTTTCCATTCTTGAATGCTGGCTTCAAAGCCTTCTCCCGACCGATCGAGTGTGGTGTTACCCGCGGCCCTTTCTCTCCCTGCCTCCATCATCACCACTGCATTTCAACGCACGAGTCACCGCACGGCGACCACACTCCCGAGCCCAAAACGGCGTTCCTCGTCCACAACAACGCTGACTCATCGCCGGCTCAGTGACTCCCGTGAGTGGGTGCCGCGACCAACAGCCTCTGTCTCTCGCCCACCATGTCGCTTTCCTCGCCCCCGCCGGCCCGCCACCACCATTACCTTCTCCTCCTCGAATACTCCCCCCGCCCTTGCCGATGTTTGGCCCCGGATGCACCGCCAGTACCTTCTTCAGCTTCTGTCACAACTGTGCAGTCCCAGCACTTCCCCACCCACCACAGTCTACGTTTCCATCGGCCTACAAGACGAGGGAGCCTTCGCGTTCACGCAGTATGACAGCGTCGAGCAGGCACTTGCGGGCGTCGATTTCGGAGGCGGTGAGGCGCGGCAGAGTCGGGTGACGCCTGATAGGGTATGGGCCGCTGCTCAGGTGAGTCAATTTCCCCAACCAACGCCTTTGGGGCTGACCCTGGGTTGGCAGTTTCTTGCTGGCCAACCCATGCCCTGCATCCGCCACCTTGTTCTTGTTGCTGCATCTCCGTTGCCCGCCAAATCCACCCCAGTTGACCCGTGGCACGCCGTCGAGAGCTTACTAGTCAAGGTAAGCCACCCATTCCTTACAACAACATTGTCTCAACTCTTCCAGGAGCACGTGTATTTGCAGCTTGCGCTTACCGCCAACCTCCAAGAAGGGCCGCTCGTCCGGCTATTCGAGCGCACGGTGATTGTCGCTGTTTATTCAGCAGCAGCACCTCAACTGACATCGTGGCCAGCTTCGAGCACAGCGCCACACGGAGGAGCCGCTCTGGCTCAAGACCTACGCCACGGATATATTTTGCCGTCTGTCGGTCCTGAAGCGGCCGGAGGCACAGGGCTGTGAAGGTTAGTGTGCTCTTCTACTTCCACTTCTTCTCCCTCTCCAAGTTCTACGGCCACATCCCATCTCCGTGCCATTCTATTCTTCTCTTCGTTGTCGAAGTACCTTTCCTTCTGCGTCCGCATTGATTCTCTGTCTTCTAACCTCACTTGCAGTCCTGCGACCGTCAAATGAAGATCCCGCACGGGTGGGTCATGCCTTTTCTTCTTTGCCTTGCTGATATACCTGCCTCTTTAGCACGCCTTGCTACCCGTTCCACCCGACCTCGCTCCGCTGCTGCACCCCAACGCCAACGACCCGATGCCGCCGCTCGTAAGCCGGATACAACAGAAGCACGGGATCAACCGCAAAAAGCACGGGTACTCGGAGGGCCCGGCGAAGATGCTGTTTCTGGTGGATGATGGCACGAGCGAGATGGCTGAGTATCGACCAGAAGTCGGAGGGGAGCCAAGAAAAAGGCGCCGGAAGGCAGCGACAAAGCCGAAAGCTCCACCAAAGCCCAAGGGGCCACCGAAAACCCCCCGGGGCCGGAAGAAGGCACAATCTGCTGCGCCGCAGACTCCGTTTCCCGACCCGTGGGCGTCGCCGTCCGTTGATGCTGTGCCACCTGGGCAGGATGCGCTTGCCGCCATGCAGGCGCTCCCCGATGACCCGTACTTCGTTCTTGTAGAGGGAAGCGGGAGCGGGAGTAGTAGCAGCGCGTATTCGCCGCACGTGCCCGTGACGCCAGATGCTGCCCCAAACGGTCCTCTTGAAGAGCCCGGGCCGGGCCCGGCGGTGGTATCTGACAGTCAGCCCATGTTTGACTATGAACTTGAAGGCAGCCTGCACTACCACTACGGTGGTCACCCAGCACATGGTGTTTACTATGACGTCGATGGGTATGCGCGGGACTTGGAGTTGACGTATGCCTACGCCTATGCAAGCGGGCACGCTGGGTGGCCAACGTCAGAGCTGTACAATGAGCAGTTGCCGCTTTTGGCGCAGAACCCGTTGGATGGTGAAGAGCTTGAACACGCAGACGCAAGCCTGGCACCCAACACACTGGATGAGATGGTCCCGCGGACTTTCGTGCGCGAGCCTGAGTACGAGCTCGATGTTAATACTGGGCTGCCTGCGGGAGGGCACCAAGCTCGGATGTCGTCGTCGTTGGCCGGCTGGGCGGGGTGATTGCGTTCAATGGCGGTGTGAAATATCATCTTTTGGTTCGCTGTTGTTGTTATTGTATCCTGCTGTTGAAATTTTTAGGAAGAAATTTGTAGGAAGATGAACTTGAACTTGACGCCGGGTGTGTTGAAGTTAGCAAAAAGTTTGTCCAAGGTGCTTTCAAGCTTGCTGCTTGGCACATATGTAAGTGACCGATCGATCTCGTTGGAATGCTGAAGACTGCCACCTTGAATCCCCCTATCGCCATAGGTCCCTAAACTCTCTCTCCACGAGCCACACCTCATGTCGACCACTGTCCCCGAGCACGAGAAACTGCCGCACGGGTTACACCCCACGGAGTCCGCTGCCGTCACGGTCAATGCCACTGTTTTGCATTCGCTTAAAGCACTGGCCGTGCTTCCAATCCTTGCCGTATTCTATCTTGTTGCCCTCCCGCCTTCAACCAGCCAAGCGTGGCGCCCACTGGCACTTACCCCGGCAGACGCCCCCCAGGCGATCATCGTCGGCATCCTCCTGCTCTACCTCCTTTTCCCTACGCTGTTCCTCCGGGCCGCAGATCCGCCCCGCATCCATGGCCTGCAGTATACCATCCTCTGTCTGCGCATCTGTACGTTGGCCTTCGTGCTTTGCGTCGACCTGGCCGACACATTTGCTTACATTTCACTGGCAATTGCCTTACTCGCGCTCATGGAGTTCGTCCAAGGTGCATCTCGTCATGATTGCCTACTACGCTGACCGATTTCTCAGCGCGCCTTGCCGTTACGCTGGCTGCCGAGCCCCCTCTCTCGCACAGAGCCTACCTGGAGGCGGGTGTCAGTACTAAGACGAAGACTGGCGAACGAAAACCTCGGGCGGAGGAGCGTTACACTGGCCGTGCCCTCTTCCTCACGATACTGTACTTTGCGCTGGTCATCCTGGTCAGGTCAATCCGCGTCCATGGCAGCAGCAGCCTTAGTGTCGGAGTCGACGCCACGCGAAAACATCGGTGCCTGTGTTTGGCCGCGCCGTAGAGCCTGAGGAAAAGTTGTAAATTTTCAAGTTGTAATGGTTTACTTCGTATTAAGTTATTATTGTGTTTATCGAAAGGCCCGGCAGCTAGCGAAATTCGACAAACAAATGCAATTCACGAATGCTGTGGTCAGCGATCAAGCGGGCCGCACAGCTTTCACTTACTCATGTCTCCCTCCCCCGACGCTGTGGCGAAAGAGCTCCTCCCAGAGTCAAACGACTCGGAAGCTGACTCGAAATCCGAGCCATCTCTACGGCACCGCTTCGGCGCTCTCTCTGTGGCGCTTGCGCTGGTGCCCCTATTCATTGCTAGCGACATCCACGGTGCGCAGACGCTGCTCTTCTGCATTCGTGTGGCGCTCTACTGGCTTATCCCCGCCTCCCTCTGGGTTCGTGTGGATGTTTTGGTGCAGACACTGCTCTATGTCGTCGTGGACACCAGCGCTGGAGTGCTGGCCGTCACTGCCGGCCCTGATGGCCCGCTGGCCCGTGCCACCTCCATCCCGCCCATGCTACTCCTCACCGCCGTGCTGCTCGCTGCGGTGTCCGGAGTGGTTTCCTTCCACCTCGCTGCCGCTACGTTTCCTAACCCCAACCCCGACTCGGACGTCGGCGGCGACCCCGAGCCCCTCTCTCAGGCTACCACTACATTGCCCCCGCTAGTCAAGACGCTTGCCGCCTCCCTCCCCCGTCCTCGCCACCTTCTGTTTCATCAACGTCCTCCCGGACCCCATCGGCCTCTTCTCTGCCCGTGGGTTCGCCCGCGCACTATTCTCGGCACCTTTGTTAGCTTACACGGTCGGCCCGGTCCTTCGCACGCCTTCTCCCACCCGCCGTGCATACTTTCTACTCTGCGCTCGTCTCGCGTTGTTGTGCATGGCCATACAGCTCGACCCTGCCACCGACTCCGACGTCCCCGAAGGCATTTTAGTCGGCCTACTCCTGTTTGAATTTGTGCTTGGTGCGTTCGCCGTTTATTATTTCAGTTGTGAATGCAAAGAGGTGAACATTGACCTTGCTTGCAGCGGGGTTTGCGAATGCCCCCCTGCCCGCCGTTATAGTTCCGGACATGGAAGACGATATCGAGGCGCAGTTGCACGCCGTGCGGCACTTGGACCACCGTGAGCGGCGTGAAGCGATGCAAGTCGTGGTCGGCCTCGCCACCTTCGTATGCACTATCGCGTGGGTGTGTCTCGTAATCCTAGTGAAGGGAATCCATCCGGTCGGACCTCCTGCGATCAGCGGACCTCCCACGTCGAGCGGTGTCGGTTCTTCCGGATTTCTGCTGTCAGCGACAGCGGCAGCTAGCACATTGTAAATACCTGTAACTGACTCATTCCATTCACTGGCACTTGCCATTGAAACAAATTCTTCACTAAGTATTGACTGGGCAAAAAGATTTCGCCGCTTTTGGGGTGGGTGGCTCCAAGGTGGCTCGGAGAAAATTGTGTAGACAATACTTATTATAACTTATGTTTGTGACACCTACCAATTCCATTTATCCTTTTATGGCAGTCAAAGTGGGGAAGTATTAAATTTCCACACACTTTGAGTTTTCCGCAACTTATTGTATAAAAAACATTTTCCACAGCTTTCTTTTCCAAATGGAACAGAAAGCTGTGGACAAGGTAATTAATATATAAAGAATAAACAGATGGCAACAAATGATTCAAACATTAATTCTGTGAGATACTCACTTTGAATGTCTTTGCTCAGGCTGGGGTTTGGAGTTCCTCAGGATAGAGACTTTGCATATGGATGTGGCCAAACGGCGTAGGCCTACGCCAACGGGGGTGGGCCCCGGTGTACGCCTGTGATGGCGTGGGCGTGGGCGTGGCATGGGCGGGCATGGACTAGTGCTGTCCAATTATAGATATAATTATGAAATCTGCATAATATACTCATACCCATATTTATAATCATAGGCTTCATCCATAATCATATCATACTCATAATCACACCTGTGTGTCCCAGTCCCCACCGTGAGTTATCAGGTCCATTGCGCCGCATGGGACCCGATAAGCTCATGGTGTTTTTATCGTTTCCCATAATAATGAATAATTTCTGGATATAAGGATGAATAATGTTGAGTTCAACACTTGTTTTTCGTCTAAGTCCTTATAGTATGAATAATGATGAACAATTTGAGGGGTATAAGACTCGGACTTGACAACTAATACTGGTATGTGACGTCACAAAGGGTTTTCTTAGAAATTGTAATGTAGATATATCATGCTATGGATAATAATGAATAATTGAACCTCCTAGTAACTTGTGTTCAGTTCGGCGCCTGAGTCACGCAGTTACACAGTGTCACATAGTGTGATAAGTTTCCAAAAAAGGAAATTTTCGCCATTTGACAGGAGAATCATCAGAGAATGTCACAGATCGTCACAAAGCCAAAGTTGTATATTTTGTCTATACGAACAACTTTCATTAAGTAACCTATAGTCCCAGCTGAATGGTTATGCCAGCATAAGCCAATCACTAACTGATCCACAACTGATGTGCCTCTATCTCCATAACTACTTGAGATAAATACATGATTCAAGCACTACCAGGAAGGTTTTGAGCAGTACCATCAGTTTACCATGCTATTTGATCACTATCATACCATATTGATGACTGTATTTAGTTCTCAGTCATAACAAAGGGAATATCTGGTACTTAAACTAGTATGTGGTAGGTGACTTATATGTTGAGATACTGCATACCAGGGCTCTGGTATTTCAGTTTCAGATCCTGAGTGAATATGATACTAGTAATGCAATGTATCCACACATCAGTAGTATTTGATCTCCATCAACCCTGAAAGATAACCATGGATCTCTGGCCAGTCAGGGCAGATAAGGCTGGGAGGGTGCTCATTTGAAGGATATACCATCCTACCATGGTCTTATTCATCTAGCCATCTGATCTAGTCTGATCACATCAACCTATTGACTGCCAAGCATGATTGAATACTAAGTTGAGTAGTATTTTGCTGATATCCTGAGACTAAATGCATGGAATCTCATGATCCAAGTTGATTCAATGAGATAAAATGGTTTACTATAATCCCATCCAATTTCTACCATAGAGCAAGTGTTAGGGCTAGTCAATTCCTAGACCTATACAACCCAGGATAGAGATATGCTAGATGGGTAGGGGCACCAGTTTCTAGGAGGTAGACCATACCCCTACCAAGAGATATACTCAGATACCTCAGACTCACAAAGGTCATGCCATGGTGAGCTCATCATCTTTAGGATAGATAACACTGATAATGGTGCTGTGAGAGATCCAGATTAGCTATGAGGTTGATTCAAGTGCTAGACAGGTTCATTTAAAGGTCTATACCATCCTACATTCATGTCTTAGATCATACTTGAAATTATCTTCTGACCAGTTGTAATAGCGAAGACACTCTCTTTTGCTTTATAGGTACCTACCCTCTCTTCAGCTACCTTTAGTGACACATGGCAGAACTATGACTGATTATGTTCCAGAGTCCTAGTAGACATCCAAATATCCTCATACACTCACCTCAAGGTCCAACACTCAGTCTATAGACCTCACTATTCATGCAAACCAGTACTGCATGTGCATGTCTTGGAATGTTCACCCCAATTCATCCTCCAAGGATATATAGAGATCAATCCAAGTATGCAAGTAGGTGTATACACCTCATTTGCCAAACCCTGACATATTTGATCAATAATCAACTACCAGATCATAGCTGTATGGCCAATATGATGTAGAAGTCGGTTCAGGGGGATATTGGAGAATAACAGCATATTACATGTATATAAGATGGCGTGAGGGATATCATATCATCGGAGGACCCCTTTGTATACTTCCTACCATTAATCTATGAGGGGTCCCTCATCTCTGAGTGAGTTATTGGGAGATTGGTATAATAGGATACATGGCATATATATAGAGATATAGGATGTTTAAAAATAGGTGGGGTTCTCCGAGATATGATAGACATTCATTACTCTATAACATAACTT